GGATCCACTGGTACACACCAGAGACCAAGGAACAGTCGAAACAGTGGACTTCACCCGGCGAACGTGCTCCGAAGAAGGAGAAGACTGTCCTGTCGGCCGGAAATGTGATGGCCATCTTTACCGGGATTCACAAGGTGACTACCTGGAGAAGGGCAAAACGGTCGCAGGATCTATGCCGAATTTCATTGTTCATATACAATCTAATGGCATCAGCATAATTCATATGAAATAAAGGTTTCAAGAGTGTCACCGCCAATGAATCACCCTGTATATGAAGTCAATTTCTCGACCTTTCTTGTTTTGTATTATTATGTAAATCTATTTATAAACAATAAACAATTTTTATTCAGAGCACGAATGGTAATAATGTTATTGCATGTTATTAGATCACTAAATGTTCCTAATTCGTAATTGTTATCACTCAGAATGGAAAATATGGTAGAATCCTTTGTAAATGAGGAATAGCGGACTTATGGTCAGTTGTTTTTTATTGCTGGTTTGTTTATAACAGGATAAAATTAGAAACCTATCCATGTGTTTGTGCAAATATTATTGCAAAATCTACCGTTCGCTCTTGCACGTGATTGTGAACATACAAAAGTGTGATCTGTGCATGCACGGTTGACTTTGTTTCCTGAAAATTATGATGACCTTTATATACAGGGTGTTCCTTAATGATATGCGAATTAAGGGTGTGAGTCTACATGAAATATGAATGTTAGTTTGCTTTATAAACTATGGTGCAAAAATGTTCAACACCCCGAGTTTTTGTAAGGAAACATTTTTGGACCATAGTTTATAAATCAATCTAACATTAATTTTTCATGTAGATTCACACCCTTAAATATTCGCATATCATTAAGGAACACTCTGTATAACGTATTCTGTATAGGGGTTCATTAAGACAAGTAGAAGTTCTAGGCGGGTTTTCGCGTTTTCGTAGGCCTTTTGCCATTTTCGGGAAGAAGGACGAGGGTGAGTTAGGCCCATATCGTCAGTCGTCCCTACAATTGTAGGGTGCATTTATGGCCTCCTTGATTGTCATACTCCTTTCTCTCCTTCAAAAATTTCTAGATTACATTCGTCCCGTGTCAGCGTCAACGCTCTCCTATTGTTAAGATATGTTTTCCTTTTAAATTTTAGGAAATTTCAGGCTAATAAAACATGATATAACTCAAAAGCAAGCACAATTTGATGCAAATAGATGTTTGTGACATAACCTCAAAACAGAGCTCTGACAGGGAGAAGTAGAAAACTATGTCAATCAAGGAGGCTGTAAACGCGCCCTATAATTGTAGGGCGCGTTTATGGCCTCCTTGATTGTCATACTCCTTTCTCTCCTTCAAAAATTTCTAGATTACACTTGTCCCGTGTCAGCGTCAGCGCTCTCCTATTGTGAAGATATGTTTTCTTTTTAAATTGTAGGAAATTTCAGGCTGATAAAACATGATATAACTCAAAAGCAAGCACAATTTTATGCAAATAGATATTTGTGACATAACCTCAAAATAGAGTTCTGACACGAAGAAGTAGAAAACTATGACAATCTAGAAGGCCATAAAGGCGCCCTACAATTGTAGGGACGACTGACGATACGGGCCTAAGGGACCGAAACGTAGTCCAATAAAGAAGAATTTTAAACATATGTGCTTTTTTGATTGACCAGATAAACATGGGCGATTATTAATTGGTTAGCCAGTTTGTATATGCAAACTAGCAAACTCAAGCATGAACACAAAACTAGTAGTAAAAAAGTCCCAGTGCCTGATAAAGAGAAAAAATGAAAATATTAGAGAAAGAAATAAAAATTTAAGTGTATTTATATATATATATATAAAATCGACGTGTCTGAGCGTTTTTACAAAAAAAAATGAGCTGACAGTAAATGCGTCTGTTTCGTTTTCGATGCGCCACCCTGTATATACTACAACTAGTTTTGTGTTCATGTAAGGCTTAGCTAGTTCACATATATAATCAGGGTAGCTTCTCCCGTGTTTTATTGTGAAACTTGCATAACCATGGCATGAAAATACAAGTATTACAAGAGATCTAAAAGAGGAGAGAAAGTACTTAATTCACAAAGAGAAAGGAGATGGTTTTATCCATGTAACCTGGGTGCTGGAGGGATTTCTGCTATGCACACAGATATTAAGGCGTTCACTGTGGATCTAACCTTTCAGAACGATACAATCGTTTAGTTATGATGTGGTGACGGTGAGAAAGAACTTGCACTTCTTAGTCTGTTTGGCCAACTAACGTCTAGAGGAGCAGGTTATCGTTGGACTGTGACATATTCCGGCATTCAACCCTTCCGCTATGTTGATTTTTGACATTACGAGCAGCCTATCCGTACTATGTATGTGTACTTCTTGACTCAACTATTATTGTATGGTGACACATTTTCCATGCCAGAAAAACTCAAATTACACTACATAAACTATCCATGGTAATATTTATGTCACCGGTAATTTGTATAATTCAGGTATTCTATGCAATACCTAGCCAATGTATAGACTACCTGGGTTGCCCTGGCAATGTCTGAAATATTATGAATATTATTATTTGAAATCAGCTTTATTAAAATTAACACTTAAAGTGCTCCTTAAAAATAAGCTTTATGAAAAGGGTACAAAAAAGCACCTCTCTGTTACTATAGTAAAATCACAGTAAAATTAACGTGAAACTAAAAATTTTGCTGGCTATAAGTAACATAACAATTTTCTTTGCTGACAAGTACGTAGGTAATACCTATAGAAAACTTAAGAAACAAAACAATTCTGTAAAAATATAGGCAGGGTAGGTCTACTGCTTAGTCAAAGTTTTAATAGAATAAAAAAAATATTCATTTTGAAGTGCACAAAATCTTCCTTGACGTCTTTTACATACATTACCGGCTGCGCATTCGGTATTGTATAGACTACCTAGGCATAGTACAAAACAAATAATATTTTATACATTACCTACTCGTTTTAGGTATTCTATGAATTACCTAGGTATTCTGTAGAATACCGGATTATACAGATTGCCAGTAACTATAAAAAGTAAAAATTGGTTTGTTGTTAATAAGATCTAGCATCACATGAGCTAAAATAATGTTATCACAAGTAAATAATAGTTGATTATGTGAATACTTTTTAGTATTCACATGACTGACATAGACATGGTTCAGTTTGGCCTACACGAGTGTATCATTGTGACATTACACAACAAATGGCTATTTATAGAATTAAGGGTATACAGCTTTCAATAAAGTATAGGTCTACCGATAATAGAGAGTAAGACAGGTACAGATTTGGATATTAGAAATTAATAGATAACAAGACAATCGACAAGGCATATGGCATGTTCAATCAGCTGCAGATACTCAAGTCAGTTTTACCTCCCACGCAACACTGCCGAGGTAATATTGAAATCGCGAAACATTTTGAAAATGAAATGTTGTTTCTTGGATGTACATCACTAAAAACCATGCACTTATTTCAGTCGATCTGTTGTCTGTCTGTCGGTCTGTCCGCTAATCCTCGGATGTCTATAGTCTAAAGTACTGCTCGGATTTAAATTAAAATTTTACACAAGTTTACTTCTATGCTAAGGTCGAAAAGGCATTGCAGTTTTGAAAAATCGGTCCAGTGAGGGGGTACCTGTTCCCTAATCTTTAGCCTCGTTATAACCCTGAAGTACACGTTTGACGATATTTTGCCACAAGTTGACTACTATGCCATGGTTTGTAGGTCTTGAGAATTGAATCATTGACGGCGGAGCTAGGGAAGAGTAACAAATATCGCTGAAATATCGTGTCTTGCTCAGAAATTTTATGGTGTGGGTTAAAAATGGGGTTTAGAGTTGTAGGGCTATGAATCTTGCATTTTTGGTATCAGTGAAAGGCGTTATGATATTAAGAAGGCATTAAAACAGAAGTGATTTATAGTTTGAGATGTAGAGGTGCACGATACATCGTACTTGAGTGCACATACCTCCAAGTTTCGCCTTGAAATTTGCAAATTTGATCGAAGGCGTTTGAAGCATCGAGTCGATCTACTTGACGAGATTTTTTATTTACGAAGGCTTTTGATCAGCTGTGCCATGACGCTATCTTAGGAAAACTTTCCTCCGTTTTCCAGAAAGGCTTTTTAGATGCGCGACACATTTTTTGGTGTTAAGATATTTGCTCTTTGTCTCATAATACCACATTAATGCTTTACATCAATTGGTTTTGTTTCTAATTATGTTTCTTTACCATGTTATTAAAAAAGTTAACTCGATCTATAGCTTAGTAGCTAATATCAATTCACATGAAGACACTCCGAGTAGAATTGGATGGTAGTGGGTCAGGAAGACTGGCAGAAACTTTCTCTCTGAAGTCAGAATTGGAGATTACTTCTGTTTATCGATGTAGGAATATGCTTTCAAGATATTATGATCAGCTAAGAGGAATCCAATCGAACATCTGATTCCATTGGATGAGCGAAATTGCGAATAGACTGAAGCTCAAAATCTATCCTGTCATCCATGTTATCAAGTGTTTTGGCAAAAAATGGATTTTTTGTGTACTTTAATGTGAGTTTTTCTTTAATCGTAACTTATTAACTAATAATAGGACAGTTGTATGTGAATATTCCACTTTTATAGTAGGATTGATCGGTAATTACTTTCTTCTTGTCATTATTATTATTATTTTTTTTTCTCCAAGAAATATTTACGTTTCTTGAAAAGTCATTTTGGAACAAATCGTCGTAACAAGGAGAGCAAAGATTTTTTGAAGATAAAGGTGAAAAGAAAAAGGAAACCACCCGATCAATTCTAGTATGAAATTACAATAAGCACTTTCCAGAGCTGTAATATATTTTTTTTACGTTACGATTGAAGAATAAAAGTGCACAAAAATGCATTTTCCGACAAAAAAAATAATGATTGGTTGTGCCACCCTGTACGAGTATATTCACCTGTTATTACCAAATAGGAAACCAGTGCCGTGACCATAATCATTCCTTAAGTAAACCAAGCAAAAAAAGCAAATGAGGCAATGTTTGTGTGTCTTTGCACTAGGAAGCAAAGCGCGCTGAGAAGATGTCGTCTAAGTTGACCTAGTGCAGACAAAGACAAGACTAGCAGATAAGCAAGTCGAACGGCAGCAGATGGGAATTTGTTGTTGGCATGGATAGTATTTAAACCAAATATGTAAACGCTTCTTGATAATGTTTCGGTATATGAAGTAGAATAGTGGGTTTGATGTTGATTGTGATTGTGCGTCGGGACCATGTATTGTTTGTGCACTAAGGAGATCTCTGAATGCACTGCAGGTCCGGTAAGTCGTTATGTAAATACATAGGTGGAATTAAAAACAGATATTTTTTCTCCTGATATTTATCAACACAAGAAATACATTTCATAAACAATACCCGATGGGCATTCCAAAACAAACCAGAAAAACAAAACAAAAATTTAAACTAAAAGAGAATGCGGCTTGTGTTGACAACAGATAAATCGATTTGAATCGTTTTTTGTCGAGCATATATCTATAACGTCCACATGGGTCCTTATGCAAAATTTGATATTGTGTGATTGAGAAAACGTTTTTGAATCTACATCCAATATGAATCTTTTTTTCCGAAGGTTACAGTTGGAATGACGTTTCAGCCTCTCTTCAGTATTTGGAGCCAATAAAATCTTTTCTTATTCACTTGAGAGACAAACGTTACAGGAATCCCAACCAGAACTTCTTGATCTGCCTGCAGTCATCTCTGCATAATGTTTCTGCCAGTTCCTCTTGTGCTCAGTCGTCTATCTCAGTATCCATATTAATCCTTAAACAGGTAGAAAATTGGGAAGGAGAACAGATATTATAGTCCTATTATTATACATTCGCTGCTCTATGAATTTGAAATAAATACAGGGTCTTTTTCCAGGGCATTATATAGGAAACAGCGATGATTTAAAAATGTCCTAAAAAACTATTTCAATGATTGCAACAGATATTTAGATATTTGGCGAGAGTGCATCGGTGCGAGTCACCCTATAATAAAAGTGCTCTACTGTATAATTACTCTTACAGCATATAAGTGCTGTAACGTGTGAAAGAAACGTTACACTTCTTGTAGATATATTAGAACGTCGTACCTTCTTCCATGAGAAAACTAATCTCAAGCATGTAATGATAGTTTACCTAATCGGAAACCGGAAACAAAAACGAATCCTGTAAAGTTGTCATTATCTATCAATTACCTCGATAATTTTTATTGAAGGTGGAAAGTAGGGTTATAAGCATACTAAACTACGATGCAACTAAGTGCGATCTGGTTTACAATATACATAACTTATTATCCTATAGGCTTTATTCCATGGTGCCGTCACGCGTTAGGCCTGCCAGACTAAATTGTCAGACCTCCTTACAGGTCGAAATTGTGGAACAATCTGCCTGAGGGCACTTTGTCGAGTTCTACTAACGTTAGACATTTCAAAAATGGGATCAAATATCTCTTATCCCTCAACAATTTCAACGACATTTAAGAAAAGGAACATTTATCAGCACCGCAGTATATGATCACTTTCTAGGCTTTCAGTAAGTAATCAAGAAGCACTTAAATGATGTTTGATACATTATATTTTATTGTCTTATTTATTTTTGGAAATGAATGGTTGAATCAACCCTTCCAAAGTTACAGAGAGTTCAACTGTTTGTGAACAAATGATGGATAGACGGATCGTCACAAAAATGAGTTTCTATAGGGATTTTCGAAATTTTCAAAAAAAGAGAAGCCGTAGACCAATTCGTGACAAAAATGAAAAATGATTTGCTGCTTTCTATATTTTTGTTGAGAGATTCACTTCACATTAACCACTAGTACGTGATTATCATTATAACCTTTGGATCCTCTAATTATTTTTTCAGTTTTATTATTAGATATTGTTCATTTGTCATTCGTATTTGTTTTGAATGAAGTCATTCATTTTCTGGACGCAGTACAAGGATTTTCAGCGCTACTATGACCTATCCGTATCTAGTTAATTGAGGATGATCAATATGATACATATTTCCTAATAAACAGAGATTTTTAATGAAAACTGTATTCGCTTGACTGCATCAGAGGAGAGATAATAATAACAACCAATTTAAAGATTGTCTCATCTAAATAAGGCCTTCTAAGGTTGCTTTTCATCATTAATACCGGCAGTAATATCGATTAATTCTAGTTTTTTTTCCACAAGATAAGTTTTAGCACCTCAACATGCGCAGCCTGGCATGGTAAGCATTAAAGCAAAAAACGATTAGTTTGTTCTGACATTGATTGGTTCAATATTCTCCTATTGCTACATCTTTGTTGTTATACCTATAACCGCATGGAACGCTCTCATGATTAAAACTAAAACATATGTGTTCGTACAGGATGATTTATGATTTCCAATTTAAGATAAAAAACTTTTTAGGAAAAATGTAGTTATTGAAAATAAAGCATCATAATTGAGGATTTCTTCGCTATATGCACTTATGAGCCTGCAGTAGTTTGCTCTGCGATATTCCTTGGAGTATTTACGTAAGCTTTGCTATTAAGACACTACCATAGGAAAACGTCCATGGGGAATACATTGGCCATGCAACGTCAAAGAAAGCGCATGATCAGATCATTCTTTCTTTGAGAATACGAGAGGTGCAACTACAAGTGTTACTGGAGATGCATATTGGCAAATGATATTATTTCATGCCCCAGCTTCCCGACGTAGTTTCAGCGGGAAGGAGCTACTTGCCACTATGCGAGGGCCACTTTGGACCCGCTTGTATCTGAAATACAGTTACAAGGTGCTAAATACATATTGATATCTTGTATCTAAAATACTGTAACACCCTATATAGTGTGTCTACAGTTTGAGTCATGTGTTGCTTATGCATGTTGCCAGTTAGTTGACAGATATTTTCCGCGATGTTGGTAGCTCTTGACTTCTCTAGTAAAGTAATCTTAACATGCCACTAGGGTATATAAGGCAGTATGTTGTGGTAGGATGATGTTAATTGAGTTTTTGAAAAGGTGAAACGTGAAAAATCGAGAAGTATTTCATATGAACTGTGACAAGAAGCGGTCAATCGGGACAATAGGTGTCAGAAGTGGAATTTTAAGTAAATCCACGAATTTGGTGGACGCTTCAAGAATTGAAAACCAGTCAAGAAGCAGCCACAACCAAGCAGAACAAGCCATAGCAAACCTCCAAGGTAGCCAGGAACATGCGATAGCAAACTTGAAGTCTGACGTGCAAGATAGCCAGGTCCAGTAATCAGCAAGTAGTTGTCAAGAAGAGGCAGTAGCAGGGATTAAAGAAGCCGTAGTAACTTTCAGAAGTGGGCTTGAGCAGCACAAGCTGTCCGTAGGCCAAGCAGTGATAGAACAAGAAAAGCGGATAAGCTCAGTAGAAGGACACGTAGAGCAACAATTGCAGCAGTCACAATAAAACTGACAGCTGACACCTTGAGTATGCCAAATTTTTACCCATTTCATGACCTACATGGAATCCCCAACTACTGGAAATTCTTGTACCATGATCAAATTACTTTGAGTACGTTTCAGACCAATTTCTCGGATTTCCCTATGAACAACAAAGAATCGAATTAAAAACGTAAATATTTGCTTTAAGTATGATCAATATTTTGAAATTTTTATCTCGTATTAGTCAATTAACTAAACTAAAAAATCTTCCATAGATCAACATTATGTAAGCAAATTATGTGGAAAACGAAATGTGCAAAAGATATTTTTCTGATTTTTGGTTTTGTTTTCGCTAAGTGAGGTTGATAATAATTAAAATCATAATGCTATTGTTTATCAGACGCGGATTTATTTTGAGATTCAGACTGTACAAGAATTTATTGCTCTGTTTAGGGTGTGTTGCAAGTATCAAGGTAGGTATCTTGAAATAATTTTACTGCAGTCTTATGGATTCATGAGTCATTAAAAATATTGAAGGGTAAGGAGTTGATCCCATGAACGTATTCATAAACAAGCTTTTTTCCCGAACAACAAACTTTGACAAAACTGTAAAGAGATGGGTTGATACAAAATGAGCACGTTATTCCAGGAAAGTCTAAATGTTTTTCTATAATCCAGGAATGCCAAAATTTTTTCAAGTACGCCACTGAATAAATTTGACACTCTTATCTCCAATTTTCAATCACCACTTTTAAAAAATACATTTGTCAACAGAAGTATGTGCAGAATCAGTTTCAAGTTACAAAGACATGAGCAATGCATAAATTATCGTGTGGTGAAGGGGTGAACATTCCATTACCCGTGGTTCGCGGATGTCTACATATAGGATGGATGTGTGGCGGATAATTTTGGCTCTTTTGGATGTTCTGACTGAAAACTACAATTGAGGTCTACAAATTCATGATTGATCTTCACGTTCAAAAGTCTGCCAATAGAGAGCGCAACAAAAATAACGAATCGTTAAGCCTTCCGTTACATTATTTATTGGCAGCGAATAACGAATGTCGAGTTTTTATGACCTTGGTAATTTGACAGTACTTACTACTCACTGTCATGACAGGTCGCTTACTTTTTTTTCGGTTTTGACGTGAAGCTAACTCCAACAGCACAAAAACTGGCTGAACTATACTTTAGCGCATATCGCAAATATTTCATTTCTCATTTTAAAATGAAAGATTATGATGTAACTTGCACGAAAATATCATTTTTTCTTTAAGGAACCCTCTGCTTTCTATTTTATAGAACCTCAAACTTGCATTTTGGATGCTAATACTGTGGTATAGAATATTGCTTTATAAGTTGTGTTCTTCTTGTTTATACAAGAGATTGTTCAAAATTATATGAATATAACTTACACGGTAAGTTACTGTGATACTGTTTATCGCAATAATGCAATTTTGCATTATTTTAATGATGAAAATAGTTCATTGTTAGGTAGTCAGTTCAGATAATTATTCCCATCACTACACCACCGTCACTGTCAAACTATCTCCATCTAGTTGCGATGTTGCCAAATCATGGATAGTAATATACCTTAATTTGGTTTGTCAAATTCTTACTTATATACTAGCGCAATCGGCACAGTATTGTCATGAAAATGCGATTTGGAGGTGTCGCCGGCAGGTTTTACTGTACTAAATCCACCTTGTGCCCTACGATAGCGTTAGCTAAAGACACTTTTTTGAAGAATGCCTTTTGCCCTTCACAATTCAGTTATTGTTTTTCCTATTATATCGTTATAATCTATTTACTTTTTGTATGTATGTACTTGAAGAATTGAGGCTGATGTTACAAAATGTAACTAATTAAATGTGATATATATGAGAAATAA